GGTTTATTTACCATTGATTTATCGAGCTCGAGCTTGCATTGTGATCGAAACATTTTTCTGGCTTATATACAATAAGGAAGAAAATCAAAAACAATTCGTCTTATCAGTCGATGAAATTGGACTTGAAACGGATCCTTCATCTATTGAAAATCTAGATAATGTGTGGAGTGAATCTCTGCTTCGATGGGGTATGTCAATTAGGCCATTAATACTTCGAGGATAACTATAGAGAGGAGTAGAGTGAATTTCAAGAAAACAAACTCTAGATGAAAGAATAGCTGATAAAGTAATTTTTACGATTTTGTCCTTTGCGCTTGATAACTGTCTGACGAGGGAATCCTTTCAGATGATAAAAAGCTTTTGAGCTCCGATTACGTTTATCTTATAGACCTCGATGAGTAATAATGTTCTGTAAATTAGTTTATCTCCTCGTTTCTGTCCAATAGAGTTATGATTGTTTTACTATTTTTTGTGACTTATGGTATCGTGTCACCAGCAAAAGTAAATAAGTGAATTTGAACCTAAAGTTTTCTCTATAAAGAGATCTAAAGGTCATTAGCATATTCTGAAAGTTTTAGACAAAACAAATACATCTTTCTTGACATAATGAATTAAAAAACTCACAATTTTCAGGATAAATTTTAGTGAGCATTAGACTTCTTTATGGAGAAAATTTCAGGTCGAAATTTGCTTATATATTTTTGTGGGTAACATGATCCGAAAGGTCGAAAGACTAATAAAATAGTCACAGCTTCATTCCAAAGCAACAAGAAGATGAATCAACTTAGGAAATACTACTCCTCATCTTGGCCTAGAAGATAAATTTAGTCTAAATTCAAAAGCTTTTTATTATCTGAAGAAGTTCTCTCATGAGTGAAAGTTCACAGATGAACAGATTTACTTACACAGGTTTTCATCATATTATATACATTTTGTTATAGCTGCATGTGTTCGCCTGTTGATGGACAAGAACATGGATGAGTCAGCAGCAGAAGCTCTCGAAAATCATCTAATACGAATGACTCGACTCGCATCGGATGAAACTCAGATTCCAAAATCTATGTCGATACGGATCGCTATATTAGTTTTACAAGTAAAAGCTCTTCGCTGGTGTTTTGATGAAGAAATCGAAAGATGTTTGATTGGACTCGAAACTGCTACAGAAATCGAATTCTCTCTTGTCAAAGATTTGGATAATCCTGAAATTGTCTATATTCGCTCAGCGGAATTATTTGCTTTCTATCTGCTAGTTTTTCATCGATCGTATTCAAGAGTCTCATCTGCTTATGATCTTCATTATTCATCAGTACCAATTACTGATTTTCCGTCGATCGCTTTCGATCTTTATGAAAAGACAAATAGAACCGCTCCATATCGTGGCATTAATATGCTCGGTATGGCCAGAGCTCAAGCTCAAATGGGTCACAGGGCTGAGGCTAGCCAATTATATCAAAGACTTCTTCACAATTGGTCACATTCACTATTCTCATCTAGTATCGATCAAATCGTGATACAAGAAGCTATTGATTATCTTCGCCGAAACATGCCTGGCTACGATTATAATTAAAGTACTTTTGCTCTCATTTTCTTTTAATAACATTAAGTTCTACATTTTTTATTACTCTGTGATAGATTAGGTGTACATCAGTGAATGAAATCTTTGCAATGATCGATCTAGTGAAAAATCATTTTGACCTGAATCAATGATGCTCGAAAACGTTAATCAGGGAATGTGGATGGATTGATAAATAATGATTTGCGCTCAATAGTGAATAATTTGGAGACAGACTCCTATTTCAGTCCTGTTCTCTTGTACATATTCGAGTACAAGATACTGCTCTATTTGAGTTTCGCTTTATTCATTATTTTGAACATACAAATCGATGTTTCATCGAAAAAGGGAAATATTGAATCTTGATGAAGGTTTGAACTTGTGAAAGACGATCACTGACAGGAATTTATTGATTCTCAGTCAATAATGAGATGAGTTGAGATCAATGATCAGGTTTGAATAAAATTGATATATCGTCGATTCTTTCATCATTTTCATAATCCAGGTGGAGAGACAACAATTGATAACATGGTTTCATCAATGACACGTTTTTCTTTCAAATAAATATTCGATGAGAAGTAGAAATTGTTCTTTGATATTTGTTATTTTATTGATGAAAGTATTTTATTAAGTGAGACATTTCCATTATCAAAAAGTGTAAGTATCTAACATCTGTTCTGAATTTATTCGAAGAACGAGGCAATTTATTCCATTTTGAAGCGAATTTTATACATTGTAATACGTGTTTATTGATACGAACTTGGAAAAAAGATGAGCCAAATACGAATATATTTAAGAGACGCTTTGATTAATTATCATAGGACTATGTTAATCAGATTCCATTATTTGATAATTACAAAAAATTTAATGGTGATGTAAAAAGCATTTTTACAAGCTTATTCTGTTTGCACTGTGCTGCTAAGTACCGAGCTGATAATATGATTATCGCATACAAACACTTGTACTTGTTTATTAGCATAAAATAAAGTTAAACAAGAAAATCACTTCATATTTTGACTTTTTCCAAAGTGCTCGAAGATATTCAACTATCGTATGTATTGAAACATTTTATGAAGTTTTATAGATGATATAATCGCTATAAAATAGGATGGGTGGGTGTGGGTGTTGAGAATAGATATACTCACACCCACACCCGCACCCTGTACGAAACCTTTTTTTCGTTCGCGATACTCTTTTTGGTTTGGTATCGTACCAATTTTTTTTTCAGTGCAAAATTACTTACAATTTCAACTCATACCCATCTTCATTTAGCTTTTCAATGTAAAAAATTTGGTCGTTTGAATTGGTTGACAAATTTTGTTTTCGAAAGTTTTCTCGGTTTTTTGAAAGCATTTGTTAAAGGTTCTTCAGGAGCTGGAAATCAACAGCTTTTGCATTTATATCTAACTTTTTTCTTCCAAAAACACAAGAAAATGTAAATCATCTTTATGAACATTTTTCTATTGATACTGGAACTTTTGGTAGCAACATATTAAAAATAGAAATAGGTGTGGGTGTGGGTGTGGGTGTGGGTGTGGGTGTGGGTGTGGGTGTGGGTATGGGTGTGGGTGTGGATGGGGGTGTGGGTGTGGGTGTGGCTAGGGTGTGGGTGGGTGTATGGGTGTGGGGTGTGGGTGTGGGTGTGGGTGGGTGTAGGTGTGGGTGTGCATGTGGGGTGTGAGTGTGGGTGGGTGTGCGTGTGGGGTGTGGGTGTGTTAAAAGAAGAATAACAGCGACACCCACACGCACCCACCCACACCCACACCCACATCCACACACCCATACCCATACCCACACCCACACCCACACCCACACCCCACACGTAGTGCGATAGACCTTGGGATCAGGCCTGAAGTTGAATGCTCAATGAGATTGATAGCAGGATGACGACTTGAAGTGCAACATAAATGAGACCCATGACGGGAATAGTAATCGTAATCGAAACAAAGATATACAAGGTGACGAGGATGGAAACGTGAACGAAGATGGTGGTCGATACATACATTGAAATTGAGATCTGGGTCGATGCTGCCACCGAGAACAATTCTAGAAGAGAGCAAATATTGATACCGAGACCGGAATTGCATCTGGGTCTCGATCTTTGATGCTATACATGGTCATGAACATGAAACACTTATAGAAGTAATGTCAAGAACCAATATCTTCTCGCATATGTGGAAGGGACATCTGAGGCTTGGTTCAACCAGGATCATGGTATTGAATGGTATAGTATTGCTTGTAAAATGCTGATACTTTGTTGATACTGTGCAACGATGGCAAAAAACAAGTAAAGTAGTGTTATAGTGCATAATTTTTCTGCCTTCGATTCACGCTATTTTGCATCCTTCAAGCTATTCGGATGATGAGTAATAGAACAAGCAAAACGACGATGGTATTTTTATGGGGAAAAAACCATGCATCTCATTAAAATATCTTAATTAATGATAGAACAAGCAGAACGAGAATTATATTTTCATAGGAAAAAAAATCAGTTATTTTATCAATATGTTATCATAAACAATCGAACAAGCAAAAAGACGATAGTACTTGCATGAAATAAACAACGTATTTCAAGCATATTTGATGATTAGTTATTTCACGGACACGGCTGAAGGCACACAAGTCAAACTTATTTTAGTGATGTATATGTTGCAGTTGAGTTTGGAATCTAGTTGAGATTGGAATCACTTAGTTCACTTTGTTTGTTTAAAAATTTTTTTAATACATATTCAAGAAAACTTGTTTGTTTCTTGCCAAATTTATATTTACTATTACTTCTCGGACAATAAAAAGTATCATCGTACTGTTATTTTTTGATGAAAAGCCATTAGTCATTCTATGTATTGTTTTTCTCTAAAAGTAAATCTTACTCATCATTTTCCTTATATTGTAGTTACTTTATCAGTACTCGGGACATGGGGATATGGAATCATTGGTTGAAACGAAATCGAGGATATTTGAGCTATTTGTTTCTATAGAATAGATTGTTTTTCGAGCAGCGGGACATGGGGATATTAAATCATTGGTTGAAACGAAATCGAGGATATTTGAGCTATTTGTTTCTATAGAATAGATTTTTTTTGAGCAGCGGGAGATGGGGACATTGAATCATTGGTTGAAACGAAATCGACAGTACTTGAGTTATTTGTTTCTATAGAATAAATTTTCTTTTCGAGCAACGGGACATGGGGACATTGAATCATTGGTTGAAACGAAATCGAGGATATTTGAGCTATTTGTTTCTATAGAGTAGATTTTTTTTTTGAGCAGCGGGACATGGGGATATTGAATCATTGGTTGAAACGAAATCGAGAGTATTTGAGTTATTTGTTTCTATAGAATAGATTGTTTTTCGAGCAGCGGGATATGGGGATATTAAATCATTGGTTGAAACGAAATCGAGGATATTTGAGCTATTTGTTTCTATAGAATAGATTTTTTTTTGAGCAGCGGGACATGGGGACATTGAATCATTGGTTGAAACGAAATCGACAGTATTTGAGTTATTTGTTTCTATAGAATAAATTTTTTTTTCGAGCAACGGGACATGGGGACATTGAATCATTGGTTGAAACGAAATCGAGGATATTTGAGCTATTTGTTTCTATAGAATAGATTTTTTTTTTGAGCAGCGGGACATGGGGATATTGAATCATTGGTTGAAACGAAATCGAGAGTATTTGAGTTATTTGTTTCTATAGAATAGATTGTTTTTCGAGCAGCGGGACATGGGGATATTAAATCATTGGTTGAAACGAAATCGAGGATATTTGAGTAATTTGTTTCTATAGAATAGATTTTTTTTTCGAGCAGCGGGACATGGGGGATATTGAATTATTGGTTGAAACGAAATCGAGGATATTTGAGCTATTTGTTTCTATAGAATAGATTTTTTTTTGAGCAGCGGGACATGGAGACATTGAATCATTGGTTGAAACGAAATCGACAGTACTTGAGTTATTTGCAAGGGGGAAACAGCTGATTAGAAATTCGCTAATCATCCTAATCACTCCTAATCACCGCTAATCACTCCTAATCACTCCTAATCACTGCTAATCACTCCTAATCACCGCTAATCACTTCTAATCACCGCTAATCACTCCTAATCACTGCTAATCACTCCTAATCACCACTAATCACTCCTAATCATTATTAATCACTCTTAATCATTACTAATCACTCCTAATAAAACAGTGACCAAATCTAATCACTTTTAGTTAAGTATAATGTATAATATTATAAAAGAGATTCACAATCAAACAGAAGTTTCTTCTGTACAAATATGTATACCAATGTATTGTTAATACAAGGACACTTTTTACACAACTATTTAATAAAAATTCGAGCTTTCTAATGTACAAGACAAAGATTAGTATACGATGCATTTCGAACGAAACAGAAAAATATTTGACTTCTTTCTATGTTGAAATTTGTCCACGTATATTCGCATCCTAAAAAAGAAGGTAGTGACAGTGTAGTTTACAAATAAAGGTTGGGTAAATCCATGGGAAATGTACCACTTTATACATGACTATCTCAG